AACTGCTCCTAAGTACTGTATACCTTGAAAAACTTGAAAGGGGTTGCCATAAGACTTAATTGACTTGACAGCATGTAATAATACCTATTCTTCCATAGTCATTCTTTTCTTCTCAATGTTCAGCTGCAATCCTGTTGTTACTTCTTTCAACTTCCTCAGTAAACCATTTCAAGTCGTTGGCACTTTTTACCAGTATTATAAAATATTGTGGCACAGCATTCCCCCCGCCCAAAAATCTATACCTTATTATGATCCACACAGTCAAAGGGTTTACTGTAATGTATTAAGCGTACACTGGTTTTCTTCTGAATTTTTTTGTTTGCTCTGGTAGCAAGCACATGTTTTCAATAAGATCCTTGCCGTATATATTGCCTTTGTATGCTACCTTGGGTCTCCACAGGAGAAAGGCAGAATAAAAATCAGATGAATAAAGAATTAAATATACCACTTCTCCTTATTGGAGTACCTTGAGGGCCAGTTATACAATTAGGTTCCCTGTTGGTTGTGTCAGATTTGCACACAAATCCGGCCATTCATGTCCAATTTGCCAAGTACAGGGATGCAGATTGTGACTTACCATATGATGGCAGTGTGACTTTTTCCCTTTTTTTCCTTTTTTTCCTTTTCTTTTTGCTGTTGGCTGTGAGATGATGAGAATAATAATATTACTATGTGTTTTAAATTTGTTGGTCTTTCAGACGTTTGCAAGATCTTTTTTTAATTGTTTGTCAAAATGCAGCACTGCTACATTCTTGCATGTACTAGCAACAACAGTAGCCATTGATGGGTGTCTTTTTGTTCAGTTGGCCTGTCCTTTTGTACTTCTTGTTTGTATGTGTGCATACATGCATATGCAATCACTCAGGTGAAAGACACTGGTTTTGTGCTGCTATATTTTGTGCAAAATGTGGGGAAAAATTACCAGAAAAAGCTGTTGGTGATAAGTATTTCCAAACTCTTCTGGGTATCACATCATAAGCCTTTGCTGCAATAATTCCAGGCAATTCCAAAACTTGTTAATTTTTATAAGCTTAATTTATTTACATCTTCTAGGTTCCATAATATACCATAAAAGTATTAAATAATATACTGTACATAAGAGTATTAAATACTTCACCACAATATACCATAAAAGTATTATAAGCATTTAACATTTAAGAAGTCATGGGCATGTTGCTTTAAAAAACCTTCATTACAGCTATGAATAAAGCTGTAGGTGCAAATACTTAAACATATGAAAACTGAACTTAAGCTTTAGACAAATACTTTAGTCAGAAAATACACCTCAGTTGTAAGCTTGTAGCTATACAAAGTGCGGGCAAGAACTTTAATCATGTTTGAATCAAAAAGAAAGGAACTAATTTAAAGGACACATTTAAAAACATATTAAAGAAAATATCTCTCTATAATATTTCATTTAAAAGTAAAAAGCAGTATAACTCAAGTTTTAAAAGCTTTCTTTAAAATACATGAAAGAACAGATTAGAAAATATAAAATGAAAAATATTTCTTATTCTCTAAGCATGTTGTTAGCACACACACAGAAACTTTTTTTCACTGAACCTTACACAGAATCCATTGCTGGCTGTCAGTGCCACACTGTTATCTTTCTGCTGATGATGTTATCCTGGCAACAGTTCCCTTCTCTAGTTCACACCCCCTCTTCCTCCTTGTATGATGTCTCTCCATTCAACAAAAGCAGGGCACATGTCTCCCGCTGTGTCTCATAACGCTCTATGTGAATTCATCCTGTATTTATACTTTAACCAATACATCCTGCCTTATAGCAAGGCCAAAATATCGCTAACACATGACATTGTTATGACAATGATCTGGCGTTAAGAACTTATCAGTACTAGACCTAATCATGGACTATTCTGGTCCTCCTGTCAAGGGCAAGTATAGCAATCTGCTATAAGACCGATCCGCTAGGGTAGTCCAGGGTTGCAGGTCATATTAATGCCAATAGGTGGTGTTATACAGTAGGACTACATATACTTTTATACACCTTTTCAAAACATATTATTATGAGACTAAAGTCTTATAAAACACATGAGACATTTATTTCTCTTATCATTAAACAAATTGCTTAAAAGAATGTTCAGCCTTTTCTCCTTTTACAATATTCTATAAAAGCAGCTTCTGTACAATTTACTCTTCTCATTTGGCACATTTATTTCTCTTATCATTGAACAAATTGCTTAAAAGAATATTCAGCCTTTTCTCCTTTTACAATATTCTGTAAAAGCGGCTTCTGTACAATTTACTCTTCTCATTTGGCTAACACAGTTCCTAATGTATTTTGTGGAATCTCTTCATTAATTAACATTTTAGGTAAAACACAACACAAGCAACATTTTAAAATGCACTTCATTTTTGTTCTCGTTTTCTTGTTCACATTAGATGAAAACTGGCATGAAACTGAATGAGTTATTTCTGCCTTATCTTATTGGTAGCCTTGTTCCAAAACACCATGAAACCGAATGAGTTATTTCTGCCTTATTATCTTATTGGTAGCCTTGTTCCAAAACAAATGAGATTATTTTGTAAACTGTCTCCCCAGCTGTAGTTTTTCAATTGTACTTTCACTTTTAATGCACATCTGAAGCACATGTAAAAAGTTTTCATTTTTCAGGCAACACCAAAAACTCTTTAAAAAACTATTGACAAAGGTCAAAGTAAAGGTGGAGTATTCTGAATATTTACGGCTGAAAATAGAAGCAGGCTGTTACGATCATGACCTACCTGTGGGACCATTTTGCCCAGCATTGTAAGAGAAAGAATACTTATAGGAGAAATGAGCTGATACTATGTCACTCCACAGCGTGAGAGATTATCCATCACAACAAGGACTTATGAATGGAAGTGAAAAGGCAGCAAGAATTTATGAACGTTAACACTGTTTGTGAGACACAGACAGGTTTGAGTTCAGAAAGGAAACTGCACAGCTGATGTCCTAAATTCCATGATGACACAGAGTGACTGTGAGATTCTTAGGGAAAACAGCTTTGTGTGCTTTTGTGGTTAGGCACAGGCTCCCCGAGATACATAAAAGAGGCACTGTAAAATGCCTGCAAGTATACAGACAAATCCAAAAGCTCAATTTTCCTATTCTTCCGATGTCTTTCTTCAATTTTCCCCTGGCTTGTTGTAACAGATGTTAGATAAAACAAAGCATCTTGCAGCACCTCAAAGATTAACACATGTATTACAGCAAAAAAATTTTTAAAAAATGTGGATATGTTAGGGTGCAACTCAATGGGGAATTTGTCCCTCAGTTTGGAGTGCTCCATGGATGGGATGGTTCACTCCTTTTCCCAGTGAACACATGATGTATGGAACATTGAAAAGCAGCCCATCCTTGATCCATGCCCATATGTACCATTTTGGCTTCCTGTCAGAGGCTATTGTTTTTGTGGTGCAGGTAGGATCCCTCTATTTGGGTTCATTTCCAAATGTGTGTGATCACTGGGATTGAAAAAAAGTGGATTTTCCTTTGCTTCCACTTTACAATCTTGGGAAATTGAAAGTTTCTTCCTGCTCCCCTACAGAGGGGGAGAGAAATGAAACAATGTTGTTGTTGTTTTAAGCTGCTGCAAGGCTGCAGCATGCCACTTAGGAAAAAAAGTTTAAAATTTGCTCTATCTCCTTCCTTTGGGTGAGCAGGAGAAAGCATTCAGTTTCCCAAGATCATGAAGCAGCTTAAGCAAAGCACAGAGGGCTCAAGGAAGGGTATTTTTGTTGTTGTTGTTGTCATTGTTGTTTTCATTTTTCCTCCTTTTAAACTGAAACAAGAACCACATAGGGTCACTTGAGGTGCAGTGTGGTCAGCCCTTGCATGTCCATGCAAGAATTGCCCCAATGACATGTCACACCTCAAAGCAACTCTGTTTAGCATGATCTAACATGATCCAAGTTGAAATAATTTGACCATCTAGTCACACCCTTAGACTCTAAAGTGCACAAGATTCTGTTATTTTTGCATTATCTGCCCTTCCAGATACCTACATTGGGTGCTAATGTTAAATATGGAGACCTTGCAACACTCAAAAGGTTCTTGACATATAGATGAGGCATAAGACTATTTCTACAAAGAACAATTTCCTAAGCAATACCAAGAAGGAATCTTAGGGAAACTGCTTTGTTCATAGACTGCAGGATGTCAAGAAAGTGCATTTTTTTGTCCATTTTCACATTTTTTTTTAAAAAAAGTTGTCTTCTTTCAACACCATTTATAAAGAAATTTGTGTAGATGGTTACATTCTTTAAAAAAAGAAAAGAACCAAAATGGAATGATAACTTGTGCCAGCCAATTTCAATGGATCTAGATGGCTGTATTATACCTGCCTGCCATGTAAATGCTACAGATGGGGGAGCTAGATAGAACAAAGAGAGATGATAACTTGATTCAAGTATCAGAAACTGAGGGTGAAGATGTACTTCACTACCACAAACATGACTGAATACTGTACAATGGATTCAAAGGCAAGCTTTTAAAGACTGAGCATTCAAAAGCTTCTGTTTGTATAAATGAACCTGCTACTCGCTTTCCCCCTCATTCATCTTTTTTAAAGTTTCAAGTTCTTGCCACTTTTTTAAAAAGCAAAAATCTGCACAAAAGAATCAAATAAAATTTTCTTGTATCCCTGTGCAACCAAAAGGTTACTTGGGTTCATGCCAGATTATGAATGTGCTAAGCCATGGCTGAATGGTACATGCCTAGCAGGACAGTACAAGAAATCATGATGTAACTAACAAGTAACTGTCTCATATTATGTCTGAATACTATTAATGAACACTGAAAAGTTAGTTTGCAACCCTGCAATTGTATCTATTCTCTCTTTCACTCTCTCTCTCTCTCTCTCTTTTGTATTGGAAGCTATGAAACAACTTGGATTCCTCCTGCCCACAGTTTCCTTTGTATGTACAAAGACTGAAGCCATGGAGAAACCTTATCAGCCAGCTCACCACCATCTTTTCACAGTGGAAAGTGGGTCATTCTATACGGCACCAGGGATAATACTGAAGACACTTTGTTTAGGAGTTTGAGAGGCAGTGGAAGGGCTGGGAGTCTTCTTTTGAACTGTACTGGGCTTCTTTCCTTCTAACCAGTATGTTATCATGTCACCTTTCCCCTACAGAAAGAAACAAAATAACATAGGAGTCTCAAAGACAATACAGTACTTTATATATGAAGACATTAGTTCTGTATTCTCAACATGAAAAGACTAGCCCACTACTTCAGTTACACTGGAATCAGAATTTGGTGTGGCAAGTTTTACTCCAGAAGACCATCAGCCATGTGCAAATTTAAAAGGAATGGGTGTCATCTAAGGGCACAAGCTGAGAGCACCCTCTATTAGGCAGAGGTCTAAGTCTTGAGATTTCCGTAAAAAGTTAACAAATTGTGAAATATTTACTTTCTTATGCTAAAATCCCCAGGTGGGCAGTTTTTCATCAAATATTGACATTTTCAGCTTTACCTGAGCTCTTCTGCGAGGTGTATGAAAACAAACTGAGGACAAGGAAAAAGGCATGGAATTCTAAAAATGTAACTTTTATGCCATGGTGATCTCTCCGCTCAATCCCAAAACAGAAAGTTGGTGAATCAGAATCATGACACCTAGTGAAGCCTACCAAGAAGATGACAGTATAGACCAGTGGTTCTCAAAATTGGGTCCTCAGATGTTCTTGGACCGCAGTTCCCAGAAGCCTTCACCACTTGTTGTGGTGGCCAGGATTTATGGGAGTTGCAGTCTAAGAACATCTGGGGATCCAAGTTTGATAACCACTGGTATAGACAATGTGTATATAAGCAATGTAAGACAATATTCCCCTTCATAAGAAAGAGAGCAGCATTTCAGGCATCTATATTTCTTTAAAGTCTTCCTGGTTTGTTATTTGCCTAAACCTAGAATTAAAGTCAACAACAGGTTCATATCCCAGTCCTCAAACTAAGCTATGATTTTGATGACTTAACACCATCAATAAAAAAATCTTTTCACCTGTCAGTGGATGGAAGGTTTTATTTAAAACCCAGTTAGCTTATACTTGCTGCAATATCTCAAATACACTGCTACTGAGCTGTGAAAATATGTATAATTAAAATATGTATAACTAATTAACCAGCTAATCCAAGCATATAATTAACTACCTAAAATCTTTCTACACGATACATAACATGGAACTGAAATACATTTTCGCTTTGCATACTGTTTGTAGAATAGTTCATATTTCTACCAACTCTTACTGGAATTGAGAGTATAGTGAAACACGTTACCTGTCCTGTATATGATTATTAATATTACTGTTATCCATACAATGAGTTCCTCTTTCATTTGTATCTTCAGTTTCATTAAATGGCACTTCATTGATAGTGAACTGGACACCCAGTCTCTCAAAACTATTCCTATTTTTACAACATTGGTGGGGAATGTATGGTCTTGAGTTGAAGCTCACACTAGCCTTACTCACCACAGCCAATAATAATGGGATGTAGCCATTGCTATCCAGTATCTAGAAGGCTGTACATTGCCTAACTCTGCAGAAATGTCTTCATGTGCATGGAAACCAAAATCCACTTGCAGGTTCCATATATTTAAGTGAATCCTTAAGTGTTCAGTTGGACCCATTTAATGACCTCAGCAGGGCTGAGATGACTTCTGAAGTGGAAAAAAAGCTATCATTCTTAATAAGCTACCCTGTCCCAGACCAAAGGCCTCCATTACAACCATTAAGTCAATTATGTTGTCAGTGAATGAACTGGAGCAGGAAAAAAAGAGGCAACTTTCAAGAGGACTGTGTCCAGCAAACTAAAAGCAGACAAGTAGGAAACTTGGTGGCTGTGAGGAGGAGAGCCAGGGACAGAGAAGAAAAAGTTAAGGAGTGGGAGAGGATTCAGGTAAAGAAACTGTGTTTCCAAGAAGCTATGAACACCTACTGTTAACCTGTCTGCTATTTATGTGGCCTCATGAGTGCTTACATCTACCTATTGGTATGTATGGGGTGTTTTTGTTTATTCTAGAGAAAGGGAGACATTGTGGGATTCTTCTGCTTCATTTTTTATTTATTTATTTTTTAATTTGCTATCAAACTAACCCTGGTTGCTTTGGACATTATGAAATTTGACATAATGGGTGGAAACCAGGGAGGGTGCCGTTTGCTACTCTGCTACCTCAGGAAGCAAAATTGTTTGGTCCCTGACTGTCTTCCTGAAGAAAAGTTTTGGAAACATTTGGGGCAGTTCTAAATTTTTTTAAATGATAAGAGATCAAGGTTGACACCTACCTCCATATCAGTCACCTAATCTGTACTGGAAGATCACAGTGCTGAGAGTAAGCTACTGTAGTTACTTCTAAGACTATGTTAAAAAATAAATCATGGAGAATCTAAGCACACATTACACCCTAGGGTGTGAATAACTCACAATCTTGACTAAGGGCTTTGTTCAAGTGGGCATTTATCCCACTGTTTGGTGTGTTGCGGGGGTGGATTGTTTTTGTTTGTTTGTTTGTTTTCCTAGCAACCACATGATGCAGTTGCTAGAGCGAACCAATCTGCCCAGAAATTACCCCAATCCTCACCTTTTTGAGTCCCTGTCAGGGACTTCTACCTTTTTTTGGTGCAGGTTGGTATGCTCTAGTTTAATCCATCCCCAGCATATGTGGTTGCCTTCAATGGACTAAAATTGAGCTTTGCAACTGTCAAAGCTGCCAAGCCTCCTTCCACTTCCAATTTCTGGTATTTGAAGTGGCTCAATAAGCAAGCCACTTCAGGATGTCAACAAATGGAACACTTGCCCTACTTTTCTGTAAACAGACAGGGGAAGTTAAATTATTACTTTTTTTGACTCTTGTAAATTATAACTCGCACTGAATAACTTTTTATTTTTTACCTTTACATGAAGTGTTGATTGAAACTATGGCTGTAGGCAGTTTCTCAATCAGCACTACTCACAAGGCCAAAAAAAAATTAATCTAAGTGATTCAGCACATCAGCAATTGTCTAGCACAGACAAAAATAATAATTTCACAGAAGAGCAGAGGAAGTTTTCGGCTGGCAGCAGAAGGAGTTGGAGGGTCATTTGAGCTCAGTATGATGTTTGGATATGGGGATCATGCCAAATGGCATATCGCTCCTTCCCTGATCTCAAGCAACTCTATTTAGACTGCATCAGCTCACACTAAAAGGGCCAGTGCAGACGTGCCCTAAATTTCAGTTCTCAGTGTTCCCAGGAAGAGAGGCATTCAGAGTAGATGTACACTAAGGAAAAGTCCACAATGAGATGTTATTCATGCTTCTGAGGGAATGGAAGAACAGACAATGTAAGGGTTAAAGCAAAAGCTTTTCAGAGGCCTGCCACTCATTCAGTCTTTGGGTAAGCCTTGAACACAAATCTTTTGTATTTACCTTGACTTGCAAATTCCCTCGGCACACCAATATATATTCTCCAATCTGTTCCAGCAGCTGGTATGTGTTTGAACTGCACTGTATTTTGAGAGCTAAAGGAAAAAAGATAAGAAGCTGTGCCATAGTTACTGTGTTTGCATCATCTTTCAAAGACACAAACTCCTGTGCATCTCTAATGTCTTATGGAATGCTGTCTAAGCTGCATTCTATAAGCCATTTCTGATACTGTTATTTCTTCCATGCATTTGGCTTGCTTTTTGCCCAAACAATAAATACCTAGAGAACTTCTTGAAAAACAGTAATGACAATTGCTTTATGTTTGGGTGTGAGATGTGCCTAACCGACTTTTAAAAAGGAGCCAAGTTCTTGGAATTTTTATCAAAGTGTGAATGATGGTCAGCTGAGCATGAGAGGGGGTCCTGTAGACCATCTTGGCTGTTGGACATTGGTGCCATGACTGACTTTCTGTATGTAAAGTTTGGCACCCTTTATTGTAAAAATAAAGTATAACTTTTGCTCAGGTTCTTCCCATTGAAATGTGTGGTAGCTGTGCAAGAGAAAGTTAGCCCATTCATTTTAAGGAGCTTGCACAGGGTGGCTCTTTAGTACACCAGAAGGCAACTTCTTCAGATATGGGAGACCATATTACCGATCTGGAACTGTGAGAAGGGCTACAGTATGCCACTGATAAACTTTCCTGATACTGTAAATGAAACACTTTGAGGAGCACCATTTTTAATTTAAACAAGGTGTAAACATTCCCAGACACTTTGTTTACAGGTCAGTTCTGTTTCCTGGAAGTTCCCTGGAGATTCATCTCCATTTGTAAATAAAAGTACACAAGGAGCATGTGCTTATTTAAAAGAAAAGATGGTGTTCAGAACAAAAAAAAATACTTATTTCATTACCACACTTGTCTCAGAAGCAAAAAGGGACCCTTGGAGACCCACGGATGCTGCAACAACAAAAACAACTTCTGCCCACCCCTGCCCTAAAAGGTGATACCCAGTGTCTGGCCTTTTTCCATGCAAGTAACATTTTACTCTCCCTTGACCAGGAACCTTACATACTCTGCAGCCCCTTTCACACCCATCAGTCATGTTTCATTCCCCAGTGCTTCTTGTCTGGTCACCATCTATCTGAGGAGAAAATGAGAAATCACAACCCATTTCCTTCTTGGAAATAGCACCTGTGGGATACAGAGCATTGCTTCATTTGCTGCTTATATAGGTGAGCCAAAAAAATCCTCTGAAGACGTGCAAAGGAAACAATTGTTTTACATTCCACAGATAAGCTTCTCCTTTAACTTTTCACAATAACAGCTTTCTAACCCCTTGAGGAAGTAGACCTAGAAACAGATTTCTCTGAATATATGCTTTGGCCTTAACAAAATTGCTGAGGACATCTTCCCCACCCCTCCCCTGCCTTTAGAAGACGAAGGCCAGAATTTGTGGTGGCTGTCATTCCCGGCCCCCACTGCTCAAAAATGAAACTGGTTCTGGAGTACTGCAGAGGATGCAAAATGGTGAGTGGGCTGTTGCTGTTATTAGCAACAGCAGGAGCAGCAGCGCCACCCCAACAACAGAAAGAGCTTAGAATTTTCTCTTAGAATAGAGAAAGAAACTGGTGGTAAGCCCCATAATGGGAAACTGTTGGAAGGCTCCATTTCATATCTTGGTACTAATATTGCAAAAGTCTGGGTGAACGAGGCAAGGGTGTAAGGAGAAGACTTATGTGCATGCTATGCCCCCTGTCCCTACCACTGATTCAACCTTTCCACTGTTTCAGTCATAAGGCCGGAATTTGGCTGTCGTATGTGGGTGTACGGTGAATCTGAATGTAGACAGAATTTTTAAATGCCCCCACAGTACTGACTTCTCAGACTTTCACACATTCACACTTCCAACGTTTGCTAATGTTCATACAAACACAAAATTGCAAGTGTCAACATTCATATGGCAGTAGCAATAACCACTTAATTCTGAACATTCACTGTAAGGTATATTAACTTATGGTGTGAAAACTGCAAAGTAACTCAACTTGCTAAAGAAAAGTTATTTGAAAATTACAGGGTAGGATTTCAGGGCATTATTGACCAGAAGGCTTGCTTTGAAATGGGGTTAAACATTGCATTAAAAAACCCTGTTCAGCTTATGCATGTTAAAGTTCAGTTCCTTACCTTCACTGGTGGACTCCATTCTAGAAGCTGTGTTGACAGTATCCCCAAATAAGCAATAACGGGGCATTTTTGTTCCAACCACTCCTGCTACAACTGGTCCTAGAGAAAACACAATGTTCACAAAAGACTTTGAAATGTTAAATATAATGTACCAACAGGTTAGGTAACAGCAAGGACACAATGATGTTGTTTAGTCATTAAGTCATGTCTGACTCTTATGACCCCATGGACAAGAGCACGCAAGGCCCTCCTGTCTTCCAATGCCTCCTGGAGTTTGGTCAAATTCATGTTGGTAACATCAGTTACACTGTCCAGCCATCTCGTCCTCTGCTCTCACCTTCTTCTCTTGCCTTCACATTTTCCTAACATCAAGGTCTTTTCCAAGGAGTCTTCTCATGAGACGGCCAAAGTACTGGAGCCTCAGCTTCAGGATCTGTCCTTCCAGTGAGCAGGGTTGATCTCCTTCAAAATGGATAAGTTTGTTCTCTTTGCAGTCCAGGGGACTCTCAAGAGTCTCCTCCAGCACCACAATTCAAAAGCATCAATTTTTCGGCAGTCAGCCTTCTTTATGGTCCAGCTCTCACTTCCATACATCACGAGTGGAAAAACCATAGTTTTGACTATACGAACCTTTGTTGGCAAGTTGATGTCTGCTTTTTAAGATGCTGTCTAGGTTTCTCATCACTTTCCTTCCAAGAAGCAGGCATCTTTTAATTTTGTGGCTGCTGTCCCCATCTGCAGTGATCATGGAGCATTTTTTGCACTCTTCTCTTTCACCCTCATTAAGAGGTTCTTTAATTACTCCTCACTTTCTGCCATCAGAGTGGTATCATCTGCAAATCTGAGATAATTGATATTTCTTCTGGCAATCTTAATTCCGGTTTGGGATTCATCCAGTGCAGCCTTTCGCATTATGTATTCTGCATATAAGTCCATCTTTGTACAAAAGGTTCCTTTAATATCTCCTATTTTCTTGAACAGATCTCTGGTTTTTCCCTTTCTATTATTTTCCTCTATTTCTTTGCACTGTTTGTTTAAGAAGGCCCTCTTGTCTTTCCTTGCTATTCTTTGGAAGTCAGCATTCAGTTTTCTGTAACTTTCCCTATGTCCCTTGCATTTTGTTTCCCTTCTCTGCAATTTGTAAGGCCTCGTTGGACAGCCACTTTGCTTTCTTTCATTTCCTTTTCTTTGGGATGGTTTTTGTTGCTGTCTCCTGTACAATGTTATAAGCCTCCATCCATAGTTCTTCAGGCACTCTGTCCACCAAATCTAGTTTCTTAAATCTGTTCTTCACTTCCACTGTGTATTCAGAAGGGATTTGGTTTCGATTTTAGCTGACTAGCCCAGTGGTTTTTCCTACTTTCTTCAGTTTAAGCTTGAGTTTTGCTGTAAGAAGCTGATGATCAGAGCCACAATCAGCTCCAGTTGTTGTCTTTATTGACTGTATAGAGCTTCTCCATCTTTGGTTGCAGAGAACATAATCAATCTGATTTCGGTATTGCCCATCTGGTGATGTCCATGTGCAGTTGGAAAAGAGTGATTGTGATGACTAACTTATTCTCTTGACAAGACCATATTAGTCTTTGCCCTGCTTCGTTTTAAACTCCAAGGCCAAACTTACCTGTTGTTCCTTTTATCTCTTGACTCCCTACTTTAGCATTCCAATCCCCTATAATGAGAAGAACATCTTTCTTTGGTGTCAGTTCTAGAAGGTATTGTAAGTCTTCATAGAATTGGTCAATTTCAGCCTCTTCAGCATTGGTGCTTGGATTACTGTGATGTTGAAAGGTCTGCCTTGGATTTGTATTAAAATCATTCTATCATTTTTGAGATTGTATCCCAGTACAGCTTTTCCCACTCTTTTATTGACTATGAGGGCTACTCCATTTCTTCTATGGAATTCTTAGCCTTTTGTTTTTGTCCACAGAGTTTTCTTGGCAAAGATACTGGAGTGGCTTGCCAGTTCCTGCTGCAGGTGGATCACGTTTAGTCAGAACTCTCCACTATGACCTGTCCATCTTGGGTGTCCCTGTATGGCATAGCCTATAGCTTCTCTGAATTACTCAAGCCCCTTCGCCATGACAAGGCAGCAATCCATGAAGGGGCAAGGACACATAGGATACATTAAAAGACTGGTGGAAAGCATTCACAATACAAATGAAAATGGAATAAAAAACAATGGAAGGGAAAATGACACAAAACTGCACATGTTGAGGAGTTCCTGTGAATAAGAATCAAGTGATCCATTGCTGAGAGTACATCGTTACAAGGTGTAGTTCTTTAATTGAAGAAGCACAAGCTTATCAGATCAATAGTTCACAAATTAGCTCCCTTTGTTCTGTGACTGGTCATCAATGGGTACACATACTGCTTGCAAGTACAGTTACTCAAGGACAAAAGTCCTGTGGAACTGCACCTCTAGAATGCCAGTATGTTTTAAGTTTCTAATGACATGCTATCTGTAAGATATAGCTTGGACCCATGAGATCTAGACATGATTACAAGAAGAAGGTGGATGATTAGCAACCAAAGTTGCAACTAGGGAGGAGATGCCACACAACTGGTGCAGTGATCTCCAGGCCCTTAAAGGAAACCAAAACACCTTCTGGGTGAAGGGTGTTCTAATTCAAAGCACCAGAAAGATGTGAACCATTCATGGGCCACCACCGAGGGAACAATGCTAGTTTCTGTTCCAGCTGGTGATGAAGTAAATGGACCAGCACTAATCAGAACATGAGGCAAAACTACGCTAAAGCTCCAAAGCAAGATTCCCCACATAGAAAGGGCCATTACATTTCCTTCTTTTCCCTTCCATTTCCATTTAAATCCTGGTAGGGCCATCAGATTGCCTTCTTCTGCCCTATAAGGGCAGACTCCATTTCTTTCCAAATTCTGAATGACATTAATCTGCCGTGTGCCTCTAAAACTAAGGAATCTAGGCAAGTGCCTAGAGGCTAACCTCTCTAGCAGACACAATCACCAAGTTTAAAAAAAAATCATTGCAGGCCTTAGCCATGGCTCTGCCCATCCTCATACCTGAGTGTATTCCTGCTCGGATGTTTAGCTGGGTATCGGGCTTGTGTGGAATCCTAAATGTTTTGCACACTGAGATAAGGTCCAGAGCCATACTTGCAATTTCACTGGCATGGCGAATACCATTCTCTCGGGGCACTCCCGACACAACCATGTCTGAAAATAAAAAGCATAGTATATTTGCAGTGGCAGATTCTTATTAACAGACCGGAACTTCAAATACAAGCAGAAAAAAAGAAAAGTGCATGGCAATAGTTAATGTATAGATGGCTCCACTGGAGTGGCAATCAGTGGTAAGACGTTCTTTGGGATCAAATATACACCACCCTCCCTCTGTCCAAATGCAAAAATGATGCCTTAGCAGCAGGAGGAGCAAGAGACTCTGGTGACTTCACTTTGAGCCTTCCTCATGGTCTCAGAGGTGGGCTGCCCAGAACAGCTCTAGGGCTTCATTGGTGGTTCAGCTGCCAACCTCTTTCTCGTACAGTGCTCTCTTCTTGAACTATTAAAAGAGGAGCTGCTGGACTGAACTTCCACTATTTGTTGGAGTGTCTACTCTGCCTCAAGGGTACTTGGGGGTATCTTTCTCCACCCTGTCATTGGTCAACCCACCCTCAAAACCAAAGACCCCAGATTCAGTTCATTGTGCAACTTTTCTTCAAAGAAGGGGCACGTCTCTACTATCAGTCCCATTGTGGAGATATTGGGAAAAGCAAAGAAATATTGCTTTGCCAAGTAAATTTGGGCTGATGAAAGAACTGAAGACTTTCTGGATCTCTACTTTACACTGGAGGAAAAATTGTTGGATGCTAGCCAAAAATACCTTTTCCCCCAGCCATTGTTTTAATATTTATACATCCAAAGAGTTGCAGCCAATGTTCAGGGTAGCAGTTGTGTTCATTTATTGCATCAAATCAACAAAGATTCAACTGAGGAAATGGGCTGCAGTTTCATAAAATCTTGCACCCAATACATCTTGTTAGACCTTAAGGGGCCATGGGATTATTTGTTGTTTTTGGGTCCTTTATTGTAGCGTGCCCATTTCCTTTGGATTTCTCCCATCACCACCACATTTATTTCTTTCATCTTCATAGTCTATTGAAGAAAGCTGAGCAACTACCAAATCTCAGATATTTTTCAAAAACTCACAGGCATCTCCTATTGTTTCCACTTTGTAGACATCGTAATTATCTATGATTTCATCAAAGGTGGTGTAGAGTTTGTTTAAGAAGTCAACTACTTGGTAAGGTGTACTAGTGCTGGAGAGATGGGTAAAGCCAACAATGTCACTAGGAAGAAAGAAGAAATGTAGTCACACAGTAGTTGAAATATACGATGCTTGAAGTAAGATTTTTGGGTTGTCCTTCTCTTCCCTGGAGCTCTCTCGGGCAACAAAAGTATGCTGTGGAGGACTGTCCACCCTTTCGAAGCAGGAATCTTTATTATAGTATAAGGGGCTAGAGAGGGGAGGCATAATCCACCCTCTTTCCCTCAACCCCACTCTTGTATGAGTGGAAATCCAGGTTTGGATACAGCCTGATGTGTCACTAAACAAGTAATGAAGTTTTGAAATTGAAACATTTAAAAATTTGCTTCAAGGAGTTTACTCTGACATTACTCCCCTCCTCCAAAATTTTCTATGACAATTGTTCAACCTGTTTTGATCATTTAAGTAGCAGATTAGAGCAAAATGGAAATGTGTGACTTCACATGTTTAGTTAAAGGCTAGGGTATCTGCATGACCAAGAACTGGCAAGGGAGTGTGGAACCCGGTTTATAAAAATGTGATTTTACACTTGTGTATTTTGAAGATTATTTGGATGCTTCCTTTATATTTGTATAGCAGAGAATGAAAAAGGCACCATTGTTTGTTTCCTTAACAAGTGACTGCTTTTTAAAAATAATTCATAAGTCATTTTACATTTCCATAATCCATGAAAAGGATGTTTGCACCGAGACCTTCATAATATGTAAATTAATTACATATCAGCATTTAATCTGCTAATTAAAGGTGGATAATTAATTTACTGATATCCTTTCACTGATTAACAACCTCAGGAAAAAATAGTATAGAGTATTTGATGAACGTTTTCATTACTTCCCTCATCACAGCTACCTACCATGGATTCATGCCTTCCTTTTTCAGTGGCGCAAATTCTGTGTAAAGTGTTCATACATTACCAGAGGATCTGTGTTGCTAATAACATGTCAACATTTTCAATCTCATGAATCAGAATTGCTCAAGTTAAACTTAGCCATGCCCATCCAGCACCTCTTTGACTGCCATATGAGAGCTGAAAACAGCATTCTTCTATAAAGCCATGTTTTCCATTGCACTTGTTTACATACATATAAATTATGCTCTCTATTGCAACTTCACAGATAGAGATCTAGTGACACTCCAGATGATGCTGGATTGAAACTCTCCTCATTACTCCTCATTCTGCTAAGTGAACTACGGCTGATAGGAATTTGCAGTCTGCAAATACCTACCAGGCCATATGTGTCCCCCTCTGATGTACAAGGTGGTATTTCCCCATAAGATCCTGCCTTTGTCTTAAGATTATCAGGAGAGACTTTCTTTTAGCCCAGAAAACCCTCCCAGGCCATCTGGTGTGGCCATTTTGAACCTCACTTCCAAAGGATTCTATGCTGCCCAGTTCCTTGCTGTCCTTCCATCAGAAGACCAAGCTATTTCTGTTTAGACAACCTGTGGTTTCTCATGATTGATTGATGAGGAAAGGCTTTTTAATAGCAAGCAAGCATTATACTTTTAGTTGCTGCATTTCTAAAAGGGTTTTTAAATTGTGTTCTGCACTATTTTAATGTCATAAGACATTTAACAGTGTTTCAATAATATAATGTATAAAATTATGCCTGTATTTCAAAAATGCATGTTCAGACACATTCCGGGTCTGGAAAGGAAGAAAATAGACTATGAAATAAGCAACTATATAACACTAAGAAGAACTGCTGGATTCATTCAGTGTGAGAGACTAGATCATTCATGGTACTCTGAAGCAGAATTCCAAATAAGAACTTTGATGACTTTTTAAGTTTGGTTCTTTAACCTTTCATTGTTAATTGGACAAAAGAAGTCTCTGATTCCAAGATAGAAAAGAATTTTAAAAAGAAAGGGGGGGAGAGAGAGAAAACACACACCATGTACTGAATCGATTTAAATTAATTTGAAAAAGGAATACACACACACACAAACACACTTTTCTATAGGTTAGAAATTTTCTATAGGTTTTCTATAGGTTCTATAGGTTAGCTTCACATTGTTGGATATATAGATTCTTGAATCTTGGCCATCCTGTCATGTATAAATCTTGCTCATCTGCAGACAAGCAAATGTAAGCATAAATCAGTAGAGATTAATTGGCAGAATTTTAATGGGCCTGCTTGTCAAATGCAGAAACATGCAGATCTAACCAATTCTAAATAATGGTGCCTTTCGCTCACAGAAAGAATAAAAGATCAAAAGTGTGTTCACATAAAGCAGTACATAAACAATTATTTTGCTAGAGTAATTAGAGCAACTTCTCCTTTTCTGCCAACATAGCACTAACTCTGATCCAGCATCAATAGCGTTGTACTCATAGAAGTGTAACAGGAAGAGAAGTACTGCTGTAAATGAACCAAAAATTGTTTTCTCCACTTCCTCAGTTTTCAATTTCACCCACTTCTTGTAGGTCAAATTACCTGCTACTTAAAGACCAAGCTAGTGGTGAAGCTTCTTCTTTACTGCTGCCATTTTATTCAAGGGGGACACTCTCTAGTTTGGAGAACAAGTAAGGGAACTTCATCCTAACCTCCACTTCCACCTAATCTCCACTAGTCAGGCCTGCAATTTACACTGCCAAATCATCATCCATTGAAACAAACTGTTGCCTGAGAAATTTAGTCAGACAATGACCTTTTTACTAAAGCAACTCACTGGAGCCTTGAAATAGCTTAGGTAAGATCTTGTGACATTTTTGGGCCCAGTTTTAGTTAATTTTAGGTCAAGTTAATTCCATTTCCCAGGAAATCTCACTCTTTTTTTTTTGTTAAAGTAGTAATTGAAATGCATATATAAACACATTCAGGTAGATAAACCATATCTATTTTTTCACATAGATCCATAAATGTGCTAGACACTGAAGATGGAGGAGTGTGTTACTCATTAAGAGCACCCACAAATGGCAAGTGGCCTTTTTTTTTAACAGAACTGCAGTAGGTCACACTCCTGGAGGCTTGTTGCACGTTTTCCATAGCCCAGTTTGGATTGCTCCAATATGTCTGCAAAGCCATTAGGAACAACATGAAAAATAAACACAAGTCTCTTCGCAGACAGATATTCCTCTACAGCAGTGTTTCCCATCCTGTGCTCCGTGGGGTGCCAGGAAACCCACTCGGGGGTACCATGGAATCCTCTCATCCTCCCCCTCCCCACTTCTTCTCCTCACCCAAGCTATCTTACAGCACTTATTTGCAGTTTCTCTTGTGTCCATGCATGGTACAGAGAGAGAACCCTGGTCCACTCTTGCCAAAAGACTGGATTTCCTGCTCTCCTGTTCACAAGGACGTCTTCTCCCCCCTCCCCCAATAAAATGAGGCTTCTCCATTTTTGTGGAAGCTGCTTCCCTGGAGAAGCCAAGCCACCAGTGTTTCCATTAAGCCATCTGTACTGTAGCATAGTCACTGGTTCCCTCTGTTGACCAGTCCTGGTAATACACATTGGGAAAGTGTATTCATGTGGTTTTTGTAATTTAATTTAATTTTTTCCAGTGGATAAATTTCACTGATCCTATGGATATGGCAGTCCTGCTGTACTGAGAGGAGCTGCAGCCAGTAAGTCAAGGGAGCCGTGAGTCAAAAACATCAGGAAACCACCGTTCTGCTGAAACATTTCGCCACCTTTGGAAAGTCATTCTCACAGCCAAAGTAGCACACATCCTTGAGTTCATTCTTACTTACCTGAAAAAGATGGTGGAGCTCATGTAACTTTGGGCCTGTGATGGTTTCCCTTGCCTTAAATCATCTGCTACCTGTTTAGGCAACATGCCTATGTTGGGTAATAAACAAAGTTATTGCTACTAGGATAAAATATAAATTAAAAGCCATTGCATTAAGTCTAAATTATCTTCACAGCAAGAAAACCATAACTGGACAGCTTGCACATTTTTCCACAGCCATCACAGCAGCCAAACAAAGGTCAGAGATAGCAAATGTATTGCCTTCCAGATGTTGTTGGACTACAACTCCCATGACCTCTCAGCATCTGAAGAGCTACAGGCTTTCCACCCCTTGTTAACTGCAGTCTGCTTCAAGACAGAAGGCCTTTACTGGTACTGATCAAAAGACATTCTGGGACTCTTTTTTTCTCCTGAACAGATTTTTAGAAAGAAGACAGGAATGATAGGGAAACTCATCATGAGTACAAATGGATGATGATGATATCTGTATTCCTCTGTAAAATCCCTTGGAGGAGGTAGGTGATTGCTTGATAAAAGCCTCAGCTGGAAGCACCATTACATCAGTCCTAGAGCTGGTTCTTCTGTGATGAGCATCGGTTTTCCTAATAAAATATCTCCCATGGCAGGCAAATCCCTCCCTGCCCCAGCTCCCAACAAATTCATAGCTCTGTCTAGAAGCCATAAATCCAAAGAAAGAACAAGGTATGGAGCTTTTTGTTGTGGTTCTTGTAATTTGGCCAAAAGCATCGCTGTGCAAAACTACTGTCCTTTCCCATTGTGAAACAAAGCATGCACAGAGCGAAGGATCGGCTGACTGAACAAAAAGCTGTGAGCAACCTATTTGATGCTTCTTGACTTCACTTCTTCCTCCATTTATGCAGTTTACACAATCTTTGTGAAAATCATTCTTGCAAATGTGACAAGTCTTTTCACAAGAACCTGTAAACACTGTACCTCATTGTCTCACAAAAAGGGCAGGGAAGTGGATGAAGTTTTTTTATTCTCATGAAAGTTTTAGTTTCTCATGCAGAATTTATTCAAAACATGCTGCATTCACTTCACTTACTGTACAACAAACGATCTGTCTTCTGTTTTTCATGTGTTAAGTCCTGCGTCCTTTCTGCTACTAAGACTTCCAGGTGTTTACTGTATTTCTCCATCTAAGCAAACAAAAATGTATTCAAGCTCAGCAACCTCTGAAGATGAGCAGGAGAGGATAATCAACCATGCATTCACCAGCATTAGCCTCATATTGCCATCGGATTCATGAGCATTGTGCTACATAAAGGCCTGCGAGATGATTTTGCATAGCTTCAGCAATTAAAAGTACTGTTCAGTGTCACAAAATTATACTTCAGAAATCTGAAAGTATTTGCACAGTGGAAGCTGCTAAATTACTTCACACATTCTGCCGCATTAAGCAGCACACCAGTGTTTAACCCAGTAATGGCTTAATCTGAAAGGAAGATCGTTGTTCCTAGGGAAACATGTAGTAGATGCTGACTGTGCTGGTGTTATTGGCCATAGTGGTCAGGTGCATGTTGACTTTACATTCAAAGATATACATCTCTTTTTTTCCAGTGTTCAGCTCTAAAGCAGGGGTGATTGACCTCAGCAAGGCTGAGGGCCATTTTTCAGATTTACTGGTAGCCTGAGAGCCACACATCCAAAGAGAAAGGACTCAAGAAAAGGAACATGTCCAAGGAGACCAATTTGCATATTTTTGATAAAAGTCACTATGATGGGTTTTAATTGACCAAAAATAGTTTTTAATTTTTTAAAAAGTTTTTTTTTTCTAACTAAAAGATCCCTTTTGTGTCCTCCAGTGGCAGAAAAGAAAAGAAATTGGAGAGATGGGGACTCCAGGGGGTGTTGAGGAGCCCTCAAAGCATGGCAACATTGCCCACCACACCTCAAAAACCGTCCGTAGCAATTTTAAGGGATATGGGGTACTAGGTGCCAGAGGTGCTTTGGAGCACAAAAATACTCTTGGGGAAGCACATGTGGCCAATGTGTATAACCTAAACCCAGAGGCTAGTTGCAAGTAGAGTAGAGCACAGCAATTGAATTACTGTAATGGGACTTATATAAGTGATGGTTTACAATTATCTCAGTGGTACCATCTTCTCTTCAAACAAGTTCCATAGTACGTATTCCAATAGTATAATTTTAACATGTTTCAAATGCATTCAAGAGCATCCTGTGTGTTTGCTAAGACATTATCCACTACAGTTAAGCAGCTCCAGTTCTTACCAACGTCATCATCATGTCAACTGGACTAACTTTATTCGGATTCATTTTATACAACAACTTCTTGACTTGCTCAAAGGTAGGCCTGTGGGTTGGATTGCTTTTTCGGCAGGTCTGGATCAGCTGCACAATTAAAAAAAAAACACCACCAACAACAACAATAAGAAGTCACCTATTCCAATTCATAGTAATATTGGACTACCTTGTAATCTTGGCATCTCTTCCCCATAATTAGGGGGAGGATTTCTATGACATTTCACCTTTTCTCTGCAACCTACATTTGAACCCATAAGCAAATTCAAATATGTTTATGGTTAATCTGGCCTTTCTCACTAGATTATTCATAAACATGTTCAAACCCACCCATAAGCTCAAACAGAGGTTGCGGGGGAGGGGGATGACATGTCATAGGAATTCTCCCCCTGCTCATTATTGTCAAAGTAAAGCACTTAACAGCCTTAACATGCAGCCACATGACTGACCCAGATTTAACCAGGCCACAACATATTCTCTTTATCAAATTCCAAGCCAGTTTATGCTCATTGTGAACATTACCTGGTATGTTCACCTGCTTCTTAGAAATCAGAGCCAGACCAAGATCAGAAATTCTTCACCAATATCAACAAGAGTGAAAATATGCTTCCCCACCACCACCGCCAGCTTCTGTTAACACCAATGGAAATTGTCCTCCTGCTGCTAACAGAAGCTCTTGTTGGTAATTGCTGTTGGCATCCCAGTGATGCAGTGAAGAGTTAAACCCCCCCCCCCCCCGCGCACTCTGTTCGTAATCTAACAAAGTCCATTTCAGCTATTATTTAAATGAAAAAGGTAAGCATGTTAAATGCATTCCTATGTTTAATGTCATGTCTAGTTTGGCCCTACAATCTGGAAACCATGATTAACAAATACAACTGTTGCTGAGCTAAGAAAAGAGGATAAATATGTGAATGTTGAGTATCTTTGCCTGTGCATGTACCAGCATGTGTGCAGGAATATATGCATCACTGGATTGAAAGGTAAGCTAACTTTTAAGGGCCCATGGAAAAAGAGTTCTGCATTTCCTCTTCCAGGCTCCAGCCATCTCCCACCCCCATAATGCATCTCCAGAAGTCCTTCCGAACTAATGTGGCATGGGGTGCAGAGGACTGCCAAGTGAGGGGAGGTGCCCCCCAAATTTGACACAGATCTCTAGGCTGAAGACCTTTGCATATTCACATGGAAGTATATCTCCAGTGAATTCGACAGTTGTATTTCTAACTATAGATACCCAATTCCTCGTGCCTTTTGTTCTTTCTTCTACCCGCCTACAGTTATCTGGCATTATCCCTATTGGTTGACCTTTTCCTCTTCTTCTCAATCCCTTGGGAAGTTCACCTAAATTCCTTCCAAAATAATGTGTAAATGAGAAAAATTAATCTAATATAGCTGCTATGCCGCCATGTTTCCCTGCTGCTGCTGCTGTTATTCTTTGTCCAGACAAGCTTGTTGTTGTTCTTGTTGTTTAGTTGTTTAGTCGTGTCCGACTCTTCGTGACCCCAAGGACCAGAGCACACCAGGCCCTCCTGTCCTCCACTGCCTCTTTCGACTGGATCAAATTCATGTTGGTAACTTCGATGACACTGTCCACCCATCTTGTCCTCTGTCATCCCCTTCTCCTCTCGCCTTCACACTTTCCCAACATCAGGGTGTTTTTTTTCCAGGGAGTCTTCTCTTCTCATGAGGTGGCCAAAGTATGGGAGCCTCAGTTTCAGGATCTGTCCTTCCATCCATTTATTGTACAGCACTCAGGGTACTATACAATAAATAAAAGAGAATGGCTGCAAAAGTTCCACTACTTCAGTGCTCTTATCTATCCAGTCCTGTTTTAGCTTTTAAAAAAGTCCTGACTTCCTTTTCTTTTAACTGGGAAGGAACTAATCTAAGGTTAAATTAACATACAATTTAGGTACATGAGTCTTGTAATGTCCCATTCTTTTGGAACAGGAGTGAAAAAACATCTCTTGTCTTCTTCTCACTGCAGAATGTTCCCCTGCAAAATGAGATATAACCACAATTTCTGTGATGTCCCATCCTGCACTATACTGTGCAGAATGGAGGGTTACAACAATCACAGAGAGCATAGCAACACATACACAGAAGCAAAGTATTTTCTCTGCTAAGTATGTAGTGCTATTTCCTGCCATGTAATGTCTCATCCTACAAGAAAAGTTTACATATAAAAGTATTCAAAACCGAATTTGGAAAAACAAAAAAAACTTTGTGTTAAGTATACTGCATAGGCTTTGGCTGTTTTCTGCACAGAAGTAATTGCAGAGAATGCAGAAAAATCAATTATAGGGATCATGGTGGGGGAGGTTATCTAGAAATCTGGAGGAGTAGGGGAAGGCTCATTGGGACATCTTGGCATAACAAAAGTCTGAACATCTTTAAGAACAAGACATTTCCTGAGAAATTCATCACATCCCTAGTATAACTCCTGAGCAAAAATATCCACATGGAAATCATTATTAACTTTGGTTAGAGAATAGTGGGATTACATTTCGACATTACATTTCACATAGAGATGTTCCTGCCCCTCTTCAAACTATGGACCTCCCCAATGCCAATATTCATTTCTTCAATTCATTTGGTTTCATAAAATACTCCTTCTTTTAATTTGGGCCCAAACAGCATTTTGATAGGCACCTTTGACTCTTATCAGTCAGACTCAACATAAGACAGACAACCTCTTGTCACAATTTCATGCAAATTATTTTGTTTTGTTTACTAACTGGGGCCTCAGTCTGGATGCTTTGAGCAAGCCATGCCTGAGAGAGAGAATGTTGAATCCTCCCCCCCCCCTTTAATCTTGGTCTAAAGTGTGAAGATTGAATGGAAACTGTGATTAACACTTCAAGGAGAAATCTGCAGATAAATTCAACTAAATTTTCAACACAGTTACTCCTAGAGCAGTCCTTAAAAATGAAGATGAGCAGGAAATGGGAATGGTCTTGGGTTTCTCCTAACTTTTGCATAATAGTAAACATCAGTCCTAAAACACAAGGAAACGTTTGAATTCCTCTGTTTAAAATGGCAGACTCTCCCTCAGACGCATATATTTGGTTTCCTGACAGCTCCTTTTAAAAAACAAAAGCAAAAGCATCACACAATGATTAAACACAATCATGGAGCTGACAGTTTATAACCAAGAGAAGCCATAAACCTCCAGTGGCTTCATATTAAAAGCATCATTTACTCCGCTCTCTTTTTGTGAGACAAGGTGAAGTTTCAGTTTGTTGGAATAATGCTATTTTTAAAAACATTAAGGCCACACACTGTTCTGAAATGTCTTGGATGAGAAATTGGAAGCATCTTAATTTGGGCTGTCCTTCCAACTGAAAAAGAAAGCTTTTCCTTTCTTTGAAGGCAGTATGTTTTCCCCCTGCCCCATTTTCTTTGGCCCTTATGCTTTAAGATGACCTGATTGGATAGATCACTGGGTTAGAGCACCTGGCTATGCAGCCAGAGGTTGGGGGAACTCACTTCCCCACAGTGCCTCCCACAAAAGAATGAGCCTGTGTGGCATCATCCAGACTGCTCAGGGTGCCCCAGAAGAGACAAATTAACCTAGGGAATGGTGAACCACTTCTGAGTACTTTGCTGTGTGGCATCGTCCAGACTGCTCAGGGTGCCCCAGAAGAAGGGAATGGTGAACCACTTCTGAGTACTTTATATCTAGGAAAACCTGGCAAGTGCTGTCATGAGTTGGAATTGAAGGGACAGGGCAGAATAATTATAATTTTCACTTACAGATTTTAGTAAGTGGGAGTGCTTATCTCAGTAGCATTGTGGTTCTTCTAGTACAATACTGTCAGCTCCAAGACAAACTCTAACAATCTGCAGACAGCTTGTTAACCGGAGCTCGTTACAAGAATCACATACTTTCTCCCCCGCCCCCCAGCAGCTGCACTGGCTGTTGATCCTTTTCCAGGCACAATTCAAAGTGCCTATTTTAACCTATACATCTCTAAATGGCTTGAAATAGTTGGGTCCAAACTATTTCAAAGACCACATTATATTTTAACCTATACATCTCAAAATGACTTGGGTCCAAACTATTTCAAAGACCACATTTCCCTTTATGAACCTGCTCGGATATTAAGATCACCAGGGGAGGCCTTTCTCATGGTCCAACCACATTCAGAAATGTGTTTGATGGGGACACAAGAGAAGATTTTTCTCTGTCGCTGCTCCAAGATTTTACAACTCCCTCCCACAGGAGGCTGGACGGGCCCCATCTTTGTTGTCCTTCTGCAAGCAGGCAGAAGGCTGGCTTTTCCTTAGTGACTGGCTGTCTAAAAGAGGTTTTAAAATGGGATGGTTTATGTTTCTGTTGCTTTAATATAATGTTTATTTAATTATTTTTAAAAGTTCAAATAATTGACTGTTTTTAGCTTTTAATATTGTGTTTTTAATGATGTAGGCCACATTGGGTCGTTTCTTAGGAGAAAGGCAGGGTAAATATATTAGACAAACAAGTGGCATCTGCTGTCTAGATTTTCACACAAGATCCTTTCTCAGTCCTATCTGGAGATCACTGCAGTTCCTTGGTGGTGTCCCATGCAAGTGCTAACCCGGTCTGACCCTGCATAGTTTCCAAAGTCAAATGGGATAAATATGCTAAGGGTAGCACCTTCAGAGTATATGCTGGTGAAATGGAACACTGCATATAACACAAGGGACAGGCCATGACAATTCCATTCCCATTGCTAACCCCAGCGTTCACTCTTTACTTGTAAACAGTGATTCATTCAGAACAATAGCAGAATTAATATTAGAGTCACCTAGAGTTTGGAAATAAAGGATTTCAAGTAACACAGATATTTGTAACATTTGTAACAAGTTACTCTTTTTTATTTAGCAACAAGGGTTTAATGGTATTATATAATCAAAAGCAATGTAATGAGTGGGGCCAAAGTTACTTTATTTTATTTTCTACTGACTTAAATGTTGCTTTTCAGGGCATTTTTAGAGATATATTGGCTTTTTAAACACACACACACACACACATTTTTATATACAATTTTCTTATCTATCCTATTTTTAAAAAGAATCATGAGTAATAACAAATAATGAAAGGTAGCAAGCAACACAACAAGCAATTCAACCAGTTATTTTTGTAAAACACTATAACAGATAATGACAATGAATTGTGCTCAAAACAGTACATCAGTCAATAGGAAATAATAACTTTTAAAAAACAGTTTTTAAAGGTCTGGATTTACCTCGGCATATTCTATAGGGCACGGACAGGCATTCTCAGATTCGTTTGATACTAATTCTGCCAAAGGGGGGCACAAAGAATATTCTTCCAAATGTGTATCATCCCTCTGGAAAATATAGGTAATGCAAATTTTAATATGGGAGAAAGGGAGAGAGATTGAATCATGAAGTAGATATCATCAGCAGATACCTGCTCTTGGAGCATCATCTTTCAAAACACACCTTGCATGCTTTGAGGAGGATTTATGTTTAATCAACTTTTTCATCAGTGGTTTTAACAGTGGGATTACCCCTTTTTGTTAGAATTGGTCTTGATCTGTGCCCTGATATCCAATAAAGCATGTACTAATCTTATAATCATCCATGAATTCAACCATTTCTAGTGAAGAGAATTCACAAGTCAGTTTTAAAAAGCAGTGGTCTACTCATAAACCAAGATAAGTCAAGCAATAGCATGTGACCCAAACACTCTGGATTTCTCTAGGTGATGCCTTAATTTTGCTTCCTCCACAATGCCCTCTACCTAGCACATTACTGGGCATAGTGGTGATGGTAATGGCAGTGCAAAAGCAGAGGCAAGCTCCGGAAAAAAAAATAATTGGAAACAATTACCGGTATGTGACAAGACCTATTATTTTTGTGGGAGTCAGAAAAGGACATATGTCAGAATGTTTCTTAGAAAAATTGGATTCTGATCAATGTTGGATGGCAGAGCTGGACTAGAAAAAAAGGGGGGAAACTAATGCTGTTCTATAACATGTCCTCCAGTACCCTCATCCCCACCAAAACACCTGAAGGAAATAGTTGGAGTCTAGGCTTACACAAAATGTAGGGGACTGGAAAGGCTCTAGGCTGCCACAGAGATTGTACAAAGACAAGACATGCGCAACCCCCCCCCTTCAGTCACCCTCCTTTGTAAGGCCCTCCTTTGAAATTCTTCTCAAAAGGAATTTATTTTCTATTAGACTGAGAGTCCGTCTACACCGACGTCTATCCTACTCTATCGCACCTTGCTGGAATGCTCGGGATCTCTTTAAAAATTTTTTACACAGCATTCTTGTTAGAGGATTCCAACCCATCCCTAACGGGGAGCAATCTGTCCCTGATTGGTCTAGGTTTCAAGACTACTGTTTATTTGGAAGAGCTAGGATTGGTCCAAACAAACACAATTCTCTAGCTGTACAACCACTAGACCACTCCAGTAGGGAGCTGAGGGGATGTTCTTCCTATGTGTCAGTGGTGATGTGTAGAGGTGAGTGACTGTGGATGGCACCTTCTGTCCTATTTTGCACTGAAAATGGCATTCTTGCTTACATTTTATTTATTTTGTAATTTTGAACAATACTTTCCAGTGTTGAGCTGCATCACTTAAGCACTAGGCCACTTATCAAAAATTAATCTAAGAAAAAAGGAAGAATTTTCCATGAGACCCTGAAGCATTGACCAAGGTCCCCAGTACCATGAAGTTGCCCATTCATGTGTGAACACCAGACACTCGAGCCTCCGGACTCCCGGTTTCTCTAATAAGGTAAACTTTGCATGGCACAATCCCATCATTCTATTAATATTTCTTTCAGTTCCACATTCAGATTTTATTTTATCCCTCCCCCCCTTTGATGATCACAGATCAAATTTCAGAAGTTTCGGTAACTTTCTATGCAAGCTTGAAGAGGTTACTTATTAAAATTATAACTTCCAGAATCCCACAATGATCATATTGGCTGGGAGAGACTGGAAGTCATAATCCCAAAAGACCAACTTTTATGAGCACTTTTCCTATGCAGGAATGAGCAGCATTTCAGTGGTTCTCCATCCTGAAAAGGTTTGACAGAGAATCAATTCCGCTTCATCAGCAAACTGTTGTCCGCTCCAGCAATTTCTCTGGGGTGGACATAATTCATTTCACCCTGAACACATGTAGAAAAATGTACCAGAAGTTCTAGAAGCCCCTTTTTGCTGAAAACACCTCAGATTTTCAAGAAAAGATTCCATATCCCCAATATCATATGGCTTGCTTTTCCTGAGCAGAGAACTACCACCAGATAAAAGGAAAACAGAAAATAGAAAGCAGCCTCTAGATTATGTAAATTCAATCAAATATACAGTCAGAACTGTATGTGGGTTCAAGAGGAGTAAACTCAAAGTTAAGGATCAAAACGTATAGTGCTTACCAGTGTTGCATCACTTCTTGTTGCTATTTCTAATAAAATGATGCCATAACTGTAAAATTGGAGACAAACCATTGTCAGTAAAACAAGATAAGCCAACGTAGCAGCTTTGAAAAGGATCTTCCCACGTAAAGTTTCTCATGCAGCTAAACTTAATCACTAAGCCCTCCTGAGTGCAGTAGGACTTCAGGCCAAGATCCCTAGCTTCCCATATAATGAACTTTAAGATGGATCTAGAGTCAGTATCACAAGGGACAAATTAAATGGAGACACACTTTGTTTGTAATAACATGGCTAGTCCAGAAAAGTTACATTCAGCCTCAATTAGCCAATGAAAGTATATGGGGCTTCACCAACTACCAATCTGGATATTGATTATGGACCAGGCTTCTGTTAGTGATTAACATATGCCTAAATTAAATTGTGTAACTCAGTGCAATGAGTTGGTGCTAATTAATAAGGTGCTGGTCGTGTTATTTGGTGCAGACCTGTTGTGCAATTTGTGTACACAATGCAACCCAACTGGCATGCCAGTATTTAGCTGCAATCGCCTCAGTGAGTTATGCAATTTAATTTATGTACTGGTGAATCACCTATAGGATTCTGTCCACCACCATCATCAGATAGTCTAGGAACAGGTTTCATACATGACATTTGTTCTAGGACAGTGGTCCCCAACCTTGGGCCTCCAGATGTTCATGGACTACAACTCCCAGAAGCCTTCACCACTACCTCTGCTGGCCAGGATTTCTGGGAGTTTAAGCCCAATAACATCTGGAGACCCAAGTTTGGGGACCACTGTTCTAGGAGATTCTGAATTTTATACATTTAGGATACAGTATTGCATATTACTAACAGGGTGCAGCACAGCCACTGTTTTTCCCAAAAGTAAGCAGAAAATTCCAATAATCAGCTATATATGTTTATGCCATCATATAGTAATAGAATTTATTCCAATAATACATACATATAAGAAAAGATAAAGTTATTGCCATCACCTGTACACATCTGCAGCTGGAGTTGGTTCAAAGTTTGGTACAGAATAAGCTTCTGGAGCCAAATATATTTGCATTAAATGATTATGAGGGTCTCTGGAATCTAACAAAGAATCTTCTTTTCTGTAGGACTGTAAACCATAATCTGAAACAAAGTCAAGCAAAGAATTAGAGATTTTCCCCTGGATGTTTTGTGTTATTCAAAGTTTTGCATTTTTATAAGTTGAGTGACACTGGCGATGTAAATCAGTCCTATCTCAATGGTAAATTGGGTCACTTCTGCTTAGAACTGAAATGGATTCTCCATAAAATTCTCTTTCGCAGACAGTGGAGACGAGAATGTGAGTTAATTCCCACGTGAATATTCATGGTAATTTTTATATTTAGCACCCACATTTAATATCCGAAGCCTGATGGTGTCTGATGTTTACATTGATTATTTCTAAACACTATTATTTGACAGCTAAACTAGTTCAACTTGGAACTAGTTTTATTTGCCCTTGGTGGCAATGCCCCACAGCCAGATCTGATTAACTCCATAGTGATATTGTAATGACTAGGAGAATGAATGGTTGCTTTTCCAAATAAAAATAAGCACAAAACCTGCAGCCAACCAGAACTGCAGAGAGACTTTAAAAACACAGCCACTTGAATTTCCAATATGAAAAGGCATGGACTGCTTGAATATGCACAGGGAACTTGGCTGTCTGCATTGCACCTCCCAGGGGAAAAGTATACAGCTTTTTAGGCAAATGGGTTTTCTCTTTGCCCTCTTTATTGGTGATGTGTTTCATTTCTCTTAGCAATGCACCGCTCACTAGGTAGTTTTAAGGAAACCTACTTTTATATTTTATATCAGGCAAAAGCAAAACTAGATTAAAGAAAGAAAAAGACAAAAACACTGTGGCACCTTAAAGACTAAGTGCTATATTTGGATGTGAGCCTTTGTGGACAAGTCACTTCTTCAGACTTAAGAGTAGGAATACATGGCAAATATTTATACATTTATACATGACCTCTACAGAGCACTCCAGCTTCACATACAGCATCAAAATAACATGGGAAGCAGCAGTTACTGGTTATAAGTCTTTGCTCGATTGGCATAGAGCATGATGCCAGGGGCTATTTCCGTTGGTGGGAGAGGTCATTGCGCCTCGCTAGGTAGCTACCGCCTGCCTTAAGGTGGGCAGCCCCCAGCCAGTAAGGTGCTGCCTCGCCAAGGTCTGTTAACCTCATGGGGTGCATGGGGTTCAGGGTGAAAGCCGACAAGCAAATCGATAACCCTGCACCATACATAAGAAAACTTCTGCCCTAAAGTTGAACTGGAACGTTCAGACAATGACCCCGGCTTTTCTGACGACCTGCAGGAAATAGACGATGCACACGAGACAGCTATCATCAACATGGAACTGAGTAGACTGCAGATGGACTTTGCTGCCCTGCAAGAGATGAAATTGCCCAACTCGGGCTCTGTCAAAGAAAACATTTCTCATTCTTCTGGCAGGGAAAACCATTGAGTGAGACCAGGGAATATGGTGTTGGCTTTGCAGTCAGAAATACTCTGCTGAGATCCATTGTTCCACCTACTGCGGGGAGTGAAAGAATCCTGCCTCTGCAGCTCCACTCATCATCAGGACCAGTCATGCTTATTAGTGCATATGCACCAACACTGTTGTCTACAACAGAAGACAAAGACAAATTCTACGATGATCTGGCAGCTACTGCCAAAAAAATCCCAGAGAGAGAGCCTCTGTTCATTCTTGGAGACTTTAACGCTAGAGTTCATGCTGATCACAATTCCTGGCCCACTTGTCTAGGCTGTTTTGGCATTGGGAAGATGAACGAAAATGGCCAATGCTTGCTGGAGTTTTGGTGTCATTATAATCTTTATGTTAGCAACATGTTCTTTAATACAAAGCTTCAACATAGACTCTCTTGAAGACATCTAAGATAGAAGCATTGGCATCGGCTTGATTTGATCCTCACTTAGATGCTCTCGCTTTCCTAGTATTACGATCACACACAGTTATCAGGTTGCTGGTTGTGATACTCTACTCCCTGGTGTGTAGTACAGTAAAACTGTGAATAAAGAGATTGTATCACATGAAAAAAG